ATTGAATCAATTATTCATTAATTGAATATTTTTGTCCTACGTGTATCTTCATATTGAATTCTTTATTATATGTTTTTCTATTTTTTGTAATATCAAAATGGGAGTGATATATTCTTACGGGGAGAATTCTTCCTGAATTTATAAGGGGGATTTAAAACTCTAATTTCTTTTCATCTTAACCCTTCTTCTAAGTCACCTCCCTCAAAGATGCTTTGTCATTATTAAAAAGGGGGAGACGGTGGTTCTATCTGCTTAACAGGTTTTGATGATACAAAAGGGGAATAAAGTAAGATATTAAGAACATTATCAAATGAAAGGAGAATAAATAATAAATTAAATAAAAAAGTAAGAGGTTTCTTTCATACCCCAAAGTTTTATGTATCATTATTCATGCCCATATCTTTCTCTAAATCATTCAATCTCATTTGCATCCACGTGTAGCATTTGTTTTGTTGCAGAGAACTCATGGCATGTGTTTCAATCATGGTGAAAAGCATGGGAACGACTACTTTTATCAGATGATTAAGGGTTCATGTGATTGAGGTTTACTTATTTGCAAGGTTTTGTTTTAACTCGGGTGCCTCATTGATTTTGAATTAAGGTTAAACTGACTTTTGGTCATCGATTCAAAATTATTCATTTGGCTACTTGTGTTACAAGTCATGACCTTGGCTTGGCTTTTCAAAGCAAGGATGGAGGTATTATACGGTGTATGTGGAAGCATTCATTTGAAATTTAAAGGAAATTCACCTTTAAGAAAGTTTGAAATTTAAATTTTTTTCTTTAACACAGTGTTCAAGGCATTCAATAGAGAGCTTTAAAGGCATGGCAATGTTTAGGTACACAAAAGAACCATTTCAAGACTTCGAGTGTTTTATCCTAAAGTTTTCAAGTACTTAATCATTTACAAGAATAAGTTCCAAGGGTTCTATGGTCTAATTCCAAAGTACTTCATCAATCTACGAGTTTTGTACCTAAACTTCAAGGTGTATTTTCTTTAATACCAAACAACATTTCAATTGGAAAAATAAGATTGAAGTTGAATTGAATTCACAGTATAGCAAGACTTTGTTTTACTTAATTACAAGAATCATTCAAGATTTTTCTTTGATCTAAGCTTCACAAAGTTACATCATCATCTTTTTAACATTATAAGAAGAATTCAAATTTTCAACATTTACAAGAAGGATTCAATTACATCATCATCAAAATTCAAGAGATACGAGTTCTTATGCCAAAGTTTCAAGCTACTTCGTATTACAAGAAATGTTAAAGTTACAAAGGATTCAAATGTTCATATCAAACTTCAACACCAATTCAATGCAAGAACGCTCATTTTTCCTATGATCTAACCTAAACTACATCATCAATTGTACTTTATTCTACAAGCATTCTATGGTGGTTTTCCTAAGGACCTAGAGTGCATCATCAAAGTTGTTTGAATCTCCAAATATTGCATTCTTATTCCATAGCCATGGCTTGCCTCAGTTTTCCTCTTGCTCCTACAACAATCCCATCGTCTCTTTACTCTTCAAATTTCATCATCATCATGCTCAATAGACACCATTGTTAAAATACATGGAAAACAAGAAAGTAAACAAAGAGTTAATTGTTATTTTATTGGGTTGAATTCAAAAGAATTTCAACACTGAATCAAGCAAACAACCCACAGTTTCTTCATGATCTAAACAACAATTCACAACATTTTGTCAAAGCCCAAAAGTCACGATTCAAGGTACAGACAAAATTTAAGCCTAGTTTTTGCAGTACTAGTTGATCACATGTTAAGCCCAACATTAAGACATAACAATTTCAAGCAGAAAAAATAAACATAAAGGGTTATGGACCATAGAGCTTCATTTTTCACGGATCTAAGGAAATGCTTACATCAAATTGTTATCTAAGCCCAATTTCAGAAACAAGTTATGAACACAGAAACTCCTAATCTACATGACTATATAAGCATTAAACACTGAAAGAGAATGGGATGAACACAACTTTTGAACGGTGAAGAATACCCTAAATCTAAGAAGAAGAGAAAAGAAGAACTTACCCTTTGTTGTCCGCCGCTGAGACATTACCGCCACCACCTTCATCATTTTTCCTCTTTCGAAGGTTGTTTGTCAGACATCAAACCCCACAAAATCTCTTTAATCCTCATTTCTCTTCATAATATCTGAATTTCTGTGTTAAGGTTTCCGAATCCCCTTTTAGATCCCGTCCTTATCTTTAGATTCCTGCAAAAATTATTACCAGATTAAGATATAGGAGAGAAAGACGAATCAGAAAGTAGAAAAAAAAGGATCAGACCTCTTTACGGCGGCACTGTCGTGGACTTCATGCTCGCTGCCGCTTGTTCTTGAGTTCCACTGTGTCAGTTCTTGACGCCCACCGTGCCAGATCTTACTTCTGGTGTTTCATTTATTGTTTTATCATTTATGTTTTGAACAATGGGAGAGACAGGGGGCGTGAGAAAATAAGGGAGGAGAGAGAGTCTTTTCTTGTTTTATGATTAATTAAGTTTAATTAATTCATTTTTGTTAGATAATGTTGTTTACCAGGAATAATCCGGCAGTGACATTTCTCACTGTCCGGTTAATCATCTTCCATGAATTCTGTACAATCCTTCCATCAAGCTTACCATGTACTTCCATTTGCAACCATATGATCAAGATCAGACGCTCCCAGCCATGTTTTCCCACGGTGCACACTCCACCTCTTCACGCACTGGATCGTTGGATTCTGTTCATGGGACTGGGCCCCAAATCCATATCCACACCTCCTGTTTTTTTCCGGCCCATTTAGTGTTTTTTACTATTTTTTTATTATTTATTCCCAGTTTTATTATTTCTTTATTACATAGTTAATACAAATGTATGTTAAATGATTAATTTCATACATGATTTTATTTAAACATAATTTGTTAATTTTATTAAATAGAATTTATTTAACTTAATTAATTATTTAATTTAATTCGATTGGGTTGTATTGTGGGATTTAAATTTTAGACTTTGGTTGAACTATTTATGTGGCTTCATCCCTATTCATAAATTATATACCCCTTTTTCCATGAGTTATAATCGTTAGTAATTATTTTATTGTTTTATTTAATCATTCATCGTCACTTACACAAGTCAAAACATTTTAAATTAATACTCGAATATGAGCAATTTTTATATTCGCAAGTCGATAAAGCTTTTAAGCATCACAAACGACCACACATGCAAACTTGCATGCTTTATCGTGGACATTCTTAAATATAGCCTACATCGATCAATTGTTCCAATTGGTCGTGTAGAAGGCGGGTATCACATACCATGCATCACTTGGAAATTATGATTCATCTTTATGTTGTTTATGCTTGTGTGAGTCACCTTGTGTGGGCTTGCGTGATTATTTATCTTGATTCATCAAGTGTATCCCCCCATTCTGGACATGTAATAATAGCTTAATAGATTTACTTTACTTTTATTCATTCACCATTGTACACTTGTTTAAAATCAACCAAACCCCCACATCTCGGTCTATATACCAAATCATAAACAATTTGATAAGTCGAGTTTGTTTGCAATCACAATCAACCATCACAAGCATCTTAGTTTATATACCAAGCCCTAACCAAGTTGGTAGGTCGAGTTTGCTTTTTTTTTTGTAATCGCCATCGACCATTCGACCTCATCTTAAAATACTTTTATAACAAAGTTTCAAACCTCGATCCAACGTCGAGAGAATTTTTTTTCAAAAACATTTTTCATAATAAATTCTAAGTATTTAAATTGTTGGTTGTTAGACCAATTGTTTAAAACTTGTGCAAAAAACCTAATAAACGCGAACCTTGTTTCACTTCACCTTTTTCATAAGAAATTTTTGGATTGAGAGACGACTTGTTGAGCTTCACTGCTCCTCTAATTTCTAGTATTTGAACCGTAGGATGTTAGTCCTATTGTTCGGTACTCGTCACCAACATAAAAATAACTTCAACTCATTAAAACCCGCCCATGTTCGAGTGCCTTTTTTTCTAAACCTCCGTTCACATGCGATCTTTCTTCGTTCACATGGGAATCACTTAGTGAGCTTTATCGTCCATGTAAGATTAAGCTCCTTTTTCTTAAATAAATTCAATCAACCAATAAACAAACTTGTGGTCTTTTCTTTCCGAACTACGAGGCTCTGACTTTCGCATTGTACGAGGGAGTACATACATAGGCACAAAGATGTGATGTCTTGCCGGGCCAAGTAAACTAAATAAACAAAACCCTTCTTCTCTCTTCTTTCTCATTCATCAAGTAAAAGATTGCAAACTATCACACTACCACTGAAACACACACGAACTAAATGGTTTCCATCGAGTGTGATGGATGTGAGGGGTGCTAATATCTTCCCCTGGCATAACCGACTCCCGTACCTTTCTCTTGGTTGCGATGACCATTTCTTAAGCGGGTTTTACTCGATACTTTCTTATTCCTTTTGGAACAAATAAAGTTTGGTGGCGATAGTGAGGACCAAAGGCAGTGATAGTTCTATTGCGGGACAAGCCACTGATAGAGCTGATGCTGAAGCCCGTGTTGACGAAGCACATGCTTCAGAGCTACAGGCTGGATGTTATCCTCTGACCGATTCTCACTGGAAACGGACGGCTGAGCAAAATGTACAGTTCTGCGCACCCCATCGTCGGGGTCATAGAGTATCCATAACGGGGGTGCAGGCTCCTACTGCCGAGGTGCAGGCTCCTACTACCGAGGTATATGCTCCTACTGAGGAGGTACAGGCTCCTGCTCCTATTATGGAGTCGATAGTTGAGGAGCACATTGTGGAGCCTATAGTGCAGCAGCCTAAGCAAGTGGTTGTTATTGAGCGAGTTGATAAGATATCCCCCGCTAATACAGACACCACGACTCGTGCGTCTACAGAGCCATCATTACACACTGATGGAGGTTTCCCTAGAGGATCTTCAGACAGGCCGTGCTGACAGGATTTGTGGACTATGTCGCTTATAGGATATGGCAAGGCGAGGTATATATTTTTAGTTTTACTTAATTGCATTATTTTTATTTTTGCTTACAAGATTTTATGTATAATCATTTGTTTTTTCTTCTTACAAGAGCGTCCGATGTTGAATGTCGCTTCTCATGGTTCGAAGTTGAAGAGCTTCCCCGAGAGTCTCGTGCCTGAGGAGGTGAAAAGGGTCGTTAGCGAGTTATATCTCCTAGAGTTTGTTGGTTGCTCCTTGACCATGCTAGACGCCTCCTTTTTATCAGCTTTTGTTTAGAGGTGGTACCCAGAGACATCATCGTACTATCTTTCATCTGGGGAGATAACAGTGACTTTAGATGATGTGGACGCCCTCTTTCACATTTTGATTGCTGGTACATTTTTTACACCAGCTTATAGGGACCAGACGATGGTCGTGTGTATGGTTATGGAGGATTTAGAGTGTTTTGAGGCAGAGGTGTTAAAGGAGTTTGGTGAGACTCGGGGATTTCACCTTCAGATGTCTTGGCTGAGGAGTTTGTATAAAGAGATTATGGAGGCATAAAGGTGCGAGGCTGCCGTTAGGGCGTACATTCTACATCTGGTGGCATGTACTCTCTTTGTGGACAAGTCTGAAGTTTATATCGATGTTCGGTACTTGTCTCTCTTCAGTGTATTTGACACTCCATGTTGGACTTGGGGAGTGACGACATTGACCATGATGTACACGACACTTGACGTTGCTTCTCATCCTAAGACCAAACAACTTACTAGTTACCTCAACTTATTACATGCGTATTATATTTTATTTGATGGTTTTTATTAATTATTTGTGTGTATTTATTTATGAAGTGTTGGATATACGAGCACTTCCCTCACATCTGTGAGCGGAAGATCCAGCATGTCACGGCACCTGAGCCATGTGGGTGGAGATGGAAGGTCAAGCAAGCCATTCCAGAAGGTTTGATGGAGTACCGGAGGAGGCTTAACGCTTTGACCTTGGATTATGTTGTTTGGACACTCTATACATCTCATCGGCCTCATCATCCATTTGAGGTATCTACTTTATATTCAGGGCATGTTAGATAGGAGAGTCATGTGGCTAGACACTTGCCTGAGAGATGTCTACGCCAGTATGGTTATGTAGAGTCTCCAATTGGTGGGATTGATAGATGGTTTCAGAGTCACATCCTTACCTCCCCGTGTGAGATCATGGAAACAACCGTCGAGGTTCAGCAGCCTGGACAGTGCGAGGATGGATACCTGGAGTGATTTCACAGTGTGTCACATCCTCGGGTCATACCACCAGCTGCAACATCTGATGTTCCGGAGCCTTCTGGTGCTAGCCCATCTACCGAGCCACCATCACCACCTCCACCACCTACAGGAGATCAGGATAACCGACTCCAGTTTATTACAGTTCATGTTAACAGTCTCATGGGTTTGGTAAATTCAGATGGTGATATCTATAGAGATTTAGCTAGGTTAGTCGACTTAGCCTGTGGAGGGCCTATGTAGATATATTTTATTTTGGTTATACCAGATGATTCTGGACGTTTCAAACACTTCATTATGTCGTAGACGAATCTTCGGATATGTTCATCCAACTCGATCGTACCTTTAGTTATCCTATAGTGAAATGATTTTCACATGGCCTTCACATCTTCATCATTCTTCAACTCGATGAGGTTGTATTTCATCCTTCCATTTATATCAATCCAATCCTCTCGAAACTCTAGCTTTGTCACCCTTCTGTTATTGGAATCACGCAATAAATTATTCAACGCATCTTTCAAGGTGGCAAAGGATTTGAAGCCATCTGGAAGCTTGAATTCAACAAGAGGGTTGTTGCAGTTGTAATACACTTCTGCCTTAATCAGAAATTGAGGAAGATACATTTTTTGAGATGTATTTTCTCTATAACAAATGCCCCTATTTATACAAATGGTGATGCATTATAGATCACACAAATTTTTCGGTGCAATCAAAACCATCCAAATATGTCGACAAAATCTCAGTCGTTCAAAAAACCATGTTTTTAATATTATCGAAAATTTCAAATTAATTGAAATTTTCAGTACATCAGAAATTATAAATACACTATCGAAAACTTATGATATCAGATATTTTGTAGGAATGTACCATAAATTTAAATGATACCGAAAATTTTAATTTTTCTATCAGAAATTTTATTCGAAAATTATATTCAACTCATCCAAAAGTAAAAGTGGAATAAAAAGAATTAAGGGGTACCATTTATAATTTTGGAGGTGAGTTAAATTCTCCTAGAAATTGTAACTACAGCCTAATATCCACTTCCCGTTGAAGAGGCCGAATCCCAATTCTCATCAAACGCAGCAACTCCATCACAAAAAACAAAATGCAGCCGTTGCTGCCGGAGTAGCACCGAACTCAATCTATACCGGAAAACGCCGGACGGAGTTATTCTATCGTCGGAGCCAGAGACAGCGAGAAAACCCCCCAGGTTTTCTTCTCTTTCGTATTTCATTTTCATTCCCCCATTCCAACGCAATTTCCGGCCACCATAGCCGCCCGCTATTGTGCGGCGCAATTGATTTCATAGTCTAATTATACGATTTTTGCAGATTCACGAAAATGAATTCTGCTCAAGTTATAGCGTTCCAGCCTGGGATTTCTGTGAAAAATTCTAAGTCATTTGTTATTCCAATGACTGTTATCACTAGTTTTCCTCGGATTCAGAGTATTAGCATAAGAGATGATGAACGTTCATTTAGATTGAAATCTCTAAAACCTCTTCGTGCCGGTGGAAAAGGAATCATGGGAAATAATGATGAGGTATTGTTTTCGCTTTGTCTCTGGGCCTTTCATCTTGGGTCTTGTGAGCGGCCTAGAACAGAAAATATTGGTTGATGCTTTTGATTTTAATCTTGAGTTTGCTAAATGAAGAATTTGCTGTTTTATCTAAAGAAGCTCTTAATAGGAAATTATGTAGTGCTATCGAAAGGGATAAATTGCTGTAATAAAAGAACCTAAGGTATGTAACAATGTTTCAAAAATTGAAAAAGGAATCTAACTGGCGAGACTTCTAGGTTATGGTTTAAGTTCAACTGTTTTAAATTTCTCAAACTGGTATGAAACCGCAATTGAACTGGCTAAGTAACTGAACAAGTGTTAAGGTTAGTTGAAGGTTCAACTGTTTCAACCATTTGATTTTGTTCAATTTTTAAAACATTGGTATGCAATGCAACATGAAAGATTGTCCATGATTTCTGTTAATCATGAATCTCTTCAAAGTGAAGGAGAACTACTCTATTTTAGGTTTGGATATTACTACATGTTGCTAAGAACATTATACATGTGATAATCAGGATTCACCGTGGAAATCTCTTTCAAATGCGATGGACAAATTTAAGGGACAGTCAATAGAAGAAGTATTACGGAAGCAGATTCAAAAAGGCGAGGTTTTTGACAATGGTGGAAGTGGATTAAAGCCTCCAGGAGGAGGAGGAGACGGTGGTGGTGGCGATGGCAGTCCCGATGGCACTGGTGGGTTTGAAGATGAAGACTATGACACTCGCCAAGTGATTTTGGCATCTGGTGCCTTAATATCTCTGGTACACTCTCTTTCTATATATATATCTCTGTGTACAAAAATCTGAATTTTGAAAACTGAAACGAGAAGTTTTAAGTAGAAGTTTCATAGGTATATGATGATTTTGATCATGGAATTTATTCATATGCAAACTTGTGAATTGTGATAGGATAGGGTTATCCTTGATATGATTAACAGAGTTGATAGAACGTAGGACATTCCTCATTTATTAATGCTCAAACTGTACATTATTTTTCCAGTATATCTATCTCATCAGGGGGAAGGAGCTTCAATCTCTATTTCTAGATTTTCTGAAGTATTTGGTTGGCAGAGGTCAGAGTAATCGACTTCAGAGGGCTATGGTAAAATTGGGAAAACTGTACAGGAGTATAAAACTGAAGAAAGTGACTGATGAGTACTTTTTGGAGAAGGCCATTTTGAGTACCCCAACCTGGTGGTATGATCCTAATGATTTTCGTCGAGCCGTGAGGAATTACTATCTATCAGAAGAAGATGAATAACTTTTACAAAGTTTGTATCATACTCTATTTCTCTCCCTTTCATTTGTTTTTCTTCCTTTAGGCGGAAGTTGATCCATGTAACCGACCACTTAGTGGGATAAGACTCGGCTGTTGTTGTTGCTATTGTAAGGTTAATGATGCTTTCTAGACATTGTGTTGTATCATCATGTTTTCATTGTAATCGTGTTCTCTCTCCTTGCATTTGTTTTGCCCTCAATTAATTTACAACTTGTTAGGCTATGTTGTATGTGATTCTCTATGAACAATTGTAGTAGCATTCTAACCCCAAGGGTTTGGCCTAGTGAAGCCTAAAATGACTTGTATATGACATGTTGTGAATTTTAGTCCTTACTAATTTCTTTGGAGTTAGAAATGTTTTAGTGTTAATAGTTACAAGTTGTTCAAAACCTCAAGTTATGTAGTTCAAAGATTTTGATTTTTGATCCAAAAGTACCACCTTAATTTCCACAAAATTTGTTCAAATTATTTAATAACCTCTTAATAGTTCAAGTGACACTGATTATGACATTTTCAGACACCAAGAGCCGTGTACAACTTGTATTTTTCTTGGTTGAAAAGTGGGATAAGGTTGTTAGAAGATGAATGGATTTGAAAACGAAAGTTTTAGAACTATTATACAAGGTAAAAACACACTATTAAAATGAAAAAGAAATGTCCCATTTAAGACGTAGCATCGTCCAACATCAGTACATTCAATTTCCTTTTCTCAATAAATACATGTTTATGACGTATAGCATTCACGCCTGCATCACAAATCAACACTTTCTCCATCTTCTTTGAAGGGTTGAAAAAGCCACTCTATCATTACACTCTTCAATTTTTAATTTTTAATATACGTGGCTATAATAATTCATAACAAGAAATTCAAATCTCTTATTCATTTGATCCTTTTAGGCGTGAATAACTATTATTCTTTTATGTTAATCTTAATCATAATAATAAAAATATAAAACTAAAAAATAATACTACCTAGATTTCAGATACAACTCCATCGTGTGCTGTGAGCATGCTGTGGATCTCATTAAAAAAAAAGTCACACCGACTTAAGTTGGGTGGAGTGGTTGATCCACATGCATTCATGATAATTCATTCACACACAAGACAATTTTATAATTGACTAATAATTTTCAACTCTAAACAGATTTTTCCAGCCGGATATGTCTGTGCAACTGCAGAATGAATTACAAAGTTTTTCTTTAAGAGAATTTAATATAACTGAATTCGAACCCAAAACTTTTAAATCGAAAAAATATCTTATTATTACCATCTCTCAGTTATTAATCTGACTATGGAAATTTACTTAGAATTTCTGCTGCATAATCTAAATTAAAAGTTGCATTCAAGCTTAAGAAAAGACTTCATAGGTTTATTACTTTATCTATGATACAGAAAATTTATTGAATCAACGAAACTACAGAGAAACAAAAAGTAGACATGGAAATAAATATATATATGATCAGCAAATTGGGATCACATATGGAACATATTAAGCACTAATATAATTTCTCTCCCCTCTTACCTTACATATATATGTAATATCTTCTACTCATTTTGTTGAGTATTTCAATCTCAAACTAATCACCAAAAGGCTAGAAAGCTCAACAAACAAACCAGCAGTGGCAAGAATCCGGCAAAGCTTCCACGGCCGACTGGAGTTGCTCCTGATCCACTGAAATTCACATCAACTGGATACAAGTTCCCCGGCGGTCCGGTGAGTACTATGTATGGCGAAGATGGTGGTGGAGGACAATTCGAGGAGGGCGATTTCTTCGGAGAAGGTGGTGGTGGAGAGTAGTAAACTATTGGAGGTGGTGGTGATGGATAATACACAATTGGTGGTGGTGGTGAATTGTATATTATTGGAGGTGGTGATGATATTGGATTGTCACCACATGGTGTGCACTTCTCAACTAGCTTCCTTGATTCCAAAGCTTTGATTGGAAGAGTGTTAGTAACACAAACAAGTAATAAGATCCAATAAAGGATCCTTAGTTGTAGTTTACTTTGAGGATTCATGTATGGTTTTGATGGGAATAATGATGTTTGGTTATGGTTTGATGTGAGGATTCTAAGTATTAGATGAGTTTTTTATGATGTTAGGTGCATATGGAAAATGTAAAGTATGTATATAGGTAAAAGGGCCTTTTGGGTTTAGGAATATTTTATTATGGTTTTGATGAATTGGAGTGAGTTACACTTGTTCCAACTCTACTTTATTGGTTAGTGAGGGCTATCTTTTTTGAAATATGAACTTCATTAGCATGTGGATGGTGTGAAATGTGGGGTCCACTATGCGCATAATTCCACATTCCTTCACACCTCAATATCAATAATTCACATTACATTAATTTTGGCTTCTTTTGGTGGTTGAATTTTGGCATAATAAGGTTCTAATCTTGGATCAAATAAGAAATAATACCATATCCTTTTTTTTTTATCTGACAAACAATGACCCCATATTCGATTTGCATATTTTCTATGGTCAATAATTCGTGTAAGAAGTTTCTATTCAAAATAAACTATCAAAAATAATTCTAACAACCAACACATTTTATTTTAAAGGTTAAATTTCATAGGTTAAAATTCATAAGATGAAGTACTTGTTGTAGTATAATAGTAGAGACTCCACATATGATATCTCAAGCAAGATGTTACATGTAAGTGACTTGTAAAGAATTTGATCATTTAACTTAGTCTTTCAGATAAAACGTAAATATAAGTTTTCTATAATCCAGTGGATCATGCAGAGTCTTAAGGTTATTTTTTCATTCTGGACTAATACGACCTCACTCTATCTAGGAGTATGGTGGATGGTTCATCTCCGAGAAAATCTAAAGATGTGACGAGGTTTTTCGTATATTGATCACATATTCTAATTCGTTGAATCTTATTTAAGGTTTCTCGTGGATATTATTTAAAGTGGTTATAAGTGAGTGGTCTGAAATCATTGAAACTATGTGGCCAAATAATCTACAAACTCCAAGCACGAGACCTGTAAGAGTGATGTGATCCACGAGAAACTTGAAGGTCCAAAACCCCCAAACAAGAGGCCTGTAAGAACGGAGTGATTAAGGAAACAATGTTACTAAATGTCGTTGTAACCTCTATATGTTGAGGTTGAATTAATTAACGTAAAATTAAACATGATTCAGATTTCCCATTCAAAAATTCCATGTGAGAACTTTTGGTTTCTTGTATTAAGCGATCCTGATCAACTCAGAGTTCTTGGGAAATACCACTTGATCTGAGCTCTTGGTCAAGTGCATGCTCGAAAGTAGGTACATTGGTCTTTTGAAAAATATTGTCCATGTTTGCCTTAGAACTTGAAATGTTTGAAAATAATATGGTAATATACTTGGTTATAATATTTAGATGATGTGAGACCATTAGGGTTCCATAATACCCATAAGAGCGCAATAACGCCTCTTAGAACGCAATGATATCCTGGAGGACAAAATAATTTTCGTAGGGTGCAATGATACTATGTAAGACACGATAATATTATAATTTATATGTTGTATAATCTTCAAGAGAGAAAGTATAAACATGATATGCTTAGTAAATAGGGATGCTCTTTAAAATCACATGGCCTTGTATGAAAAAATAGTGTCACCTTATACCTTTATCAATATTTTTGAATCACAAAAGTCAAAATAGGAGAATAATTTATGGTGTAACTCACCTTATTTATTGAAAAATATAAACTAACTATAACAATGCTGAAAGATCACTGTTACACATCTTAGGGACGAGATCTTCGTTCATATCTTTTAACTTATAGGTGCCTCAGAAAAAACTTTCACTTACTCTATAAGATCCTTCCTAGTTAGACTCCAGCCATCCGCATTGAATTCAAAGTTTCACGTGCCATTTCATGTGCCTCGTCTTTCAGGTTCATGCTACAGTTAGACCTATCTTGTTTTCTTCTTCAGCAAGTTTTCAAGTCATGTGTGCATGTTTATTTCAACAATTAGTATCATAACTAAGTTGTATAACATTTTAAATGTTTTCTTTGTAGAAAAGTGGAGTTTCGTGTAATACAACCAAATTACATATAGCTTTCAACAACGACATATCTAAATGAAAGTTTAAGGTGACAAGGATCATTATAGTTTTAGAAAGATTAGAAAAATCTAACAATACCTTGTATAGTTGTTCTGACCATAATCCTTTTTGTTATTCCAATCTATTCTTAATTCTATAAAGGACAACCTTGTTAGCAGATTTGACTTGTCCATTAGTTTAAGGATGTTCAACTGAGACAAACTTCTTTTGAATTCCTAAATGTTGGCTAAATTCACTTACTATTGAACTTGCGAATTGAGATCCATTGTTTGGGACAACGCATTTTTGTAGTCTAAATCTATCAATCATTCATTTCTAATAGAAACACCTTACTCTCCCCGCATTAATCTTTAACACAACCTTTACTTCTATACACTTTGTGAGGTAATCCATACCTAAAAGTAATAATTTTAGTTTCCATGGGGCCATGGGAATGTTCCCCAGATATAAATACCCTAACTTGTGGAATGACCATGGTAAGGTCATTGAATGAAATACCTCAGCTAGGGTGATACATAAGTCTAAAAATAGATGATAATTGTTATATTTATTGACGAAGTCAGTGTACTCCCTTAGCAAAGTTGGCAAATAATACATGTTCCATAATACTTATTAACAAACCATCTTCCACATATATGGCTTCCACTAACACGTTAGTGTTCCTCCATTAATAGCAGGATTGTCTCGTTCTCATCCAAACACATTAACATTGGTGTGGCTCTTCCCATCTTGAGTAATTTTCTCGCAACCAACATGTATTATATAGACAACTTTTTTATCTTTCTCTCATTCTCCTTATATAGAAGTAATTGCTTGATTTTCCAGTTATTCGAATATGGGTGCCATTCAACCCTCATCGTTTGGTTTATCGATGGTGTTAACTACGACATCTTTAATACCGGGAATGAGCAATGCTTCCAATATTACTATTTTATCATGCCCTAGTTTCTTTGTGATATAAATTTTAGATAACTGATCTTCTTAGAATTTTAGTTCTCTAGGAACATATGTTACCTAAAAAAAAATTAATATACCTAGCCATGTCTTAAACCTTTTACAAATATTTTATCAATTAGGCTTATTTCATTTGGTACTCGTCAGCAACTTAATTGGTGGTCAGTGATAAGTGCAAATTGTAGCTACTTTCATATATATTTTTTGTGGAACTTATTGACTCTTTGTTGTTAATAATCGTTGGATAAACGCGACTTTTGTGTAAATACGTTTAGTTTGTGTATATTGGTATTTTGTGTACATAGTATATTAATTGATATTTTTGTATTCATTTTGTAGGTATTTGAGCATTGTTGGAGCAAGAGGAATAAAAGCTCCAAGATGAATTATTTGATCAATAAAGGAATAAAGCCAAGATGAGAGCCATTTGAAGTTGTGCAGAAGAAAGCAACAAAAGTTGTTGGACTAGTGTGCATCTTCGGGCGATGGTCGGGAGAGCGTTATCGCGTCTGCGTCCTCGGGCGACAGTGGAGCGAGAAAGGACCAATTTTCCATTTGGGTCTGCCTTGCTTCGCTGCTGTGTCGTCAGGCGAGGAATAAAGGTGTCATCGGGAGATGTGAGTCTATTGCCGGGCTAAAGAAGATATTTTTGACATGTTGCGTACGTGGCATAGTCTTGGGTAAGAGTTTAGGTAGCGTCGCCAGACGACGTGTTTGTGTCGTCGAGCGACGGTCGCACAACAAATTTTCTTTATATTTCATTTTCATTTTGTTTGGTTATGGTTTTTGTGGTGGTTTTTGTTCTTCCAATTCCATCAATCTCATTTTTATAGTGGATTAGCTTAGATAACAATTATGGAGCTTGCATACGGATGATCCGGGTGGATTGCTCTTCGATCGATGCTGATAAACCGGGAGATTTATGGTTAATTTCTCTTTTTCTTTGTGTATTCTCTTTTAGTTGGGTTTTTCATGTATATTTACTTTGATCTCATGTATATTTGTCTCCAATGGCGTTATATTTAATTTGCTTTACAAATCTTTGTGGATTGTTATCCTTGATTTTTGTTCTGTGCTAGGGATTTGGGTTGTTATAGACATATACTACTCGAATTCTTATCTTGGATGATTGTCTAATAGTGTCTAGATTCTAAAGATAGATTTACTTCTATTATTCACTTAGGGTGTCTGTGATTAATGTCTTTGTGTTAGTTGTGTTGGCTGAGAGATCGTTAACACGAGTGACACAATTGACTTCTACGTTGTTGAGGTGGTTGAGATATCACTACCGAAGTGATACAATGGGTGTTGTATTTGATATGTGATGATATTGACGAGTATTGTAGGTTGAGTATAACTGGTCGATAGGTTTAAGTCTGTGAGGAGTGGATTCTATGCATGCTTGATAAGTTTCTCCTTGGAAGAATGAATTTATTTTCTTGTCAATAGTTTTTACCTCTTTCTTTACAAACAACCCATTTTCCCCCAAATGATTTGTCGAACGGAGAATCAATACCAATCTCTGTGGACATGATACAATATAAACTATATCACCCGGTAAAATTAATAATTTACTTTTTGTTTGCCGCTTTAGTGCTCCAGCAAAATGGCGCCATTGTCGGGGATTGGTTTATTCTTTCACATCGCGATAATTCCTTTGTTTTTGAGTTTTGTAATTAATGTATATGTTGTATATAAATTATGCATGAACTTGTTTATGTTTACTTGTGAATTTATTTATTTATGTTTACCACACTTGTACATGTTTTCTATACTTGTAAATTTATTATATCATTGTTTGTTTCCTTTCACGTTTGCTTGTGTGTTGGTTAGGAATAATCAGGTGGAATAAACTTGGAGAAATATTCTTAAATAACAGGCTTCAAGCTTACGACATAAAACAAACATGTTTTATTGTTTTTCATTTTGTTAATTTAGGTAGTATGTTGATTGTTGTTTAAACAAGTTGAAATTAGACTTGTTCTAAATTCTTATAT